TGTCCACAGTCTCCGGTCATCTGTACTATGTCCACATGTGTGTAAGCAGGTTAGTGAGTGCACTCCAGTAAGCGGCAAATGCACTAAAAAAAAAACCACAAAGCCTTTCCTACTGAAATTGACAAAATAAAAGTGCAGCGCTACAAACAATATCATAGCAATTATGTTGAAATGACTAGCAAAAAAAGTTAATTGTCCAATGCAATAGTATGAGATGTGGTAAGCAGTTCAATTATGAAAAAACTTCCAACAACGCTGGTGTAATCCAATCCAATATCAAGGAGTAGGTAGATTGCCCACTTACCAGAAGCGCAATCTCAATGCGCATGTACAGGTCACATGTAGCCGAGGTCTCATGTAGGTACTGCTTGGTAGTACCCTGGTGGTCCCTCAATGGTAAGGAAATACTGGTCTGGTCGGATCACACTGCTTCTTGGATCCACACAGAAGCCTAAAGTACTGGGGCTGAGGTATGGGGGCTCAGTGCCAGGTATAAGAAGTAAAGGTGCTCATAGTGTAGTAATTTTAAATAAAAATGTATTAAATCCAATGTATAAAAATCAGATTAAAATTACAAAGCACATGCCTGCAGCCTGTAGCCAGTTAAAGAGGCTGTAAAGAACATCTAAAAACACTGACCAGTGAAACTCAAGGGTTGGCCACCGGACCTCCTGATCCGGCAGCGTGACGTCAAGGCGTGCGAAGGCTCCTCCTAGACGCGTTTGGTGTCAATACATATCTACAGTAGGGGTGATGCCATGCATGTCAGTTCTGACGAAGTCCGCGGTGATTGGCGGACAAAAACGCGTCAACGTAATAACGTCACTACGCTTGGCGTCTTCATAGGGTGCGGTGCCCACGAGGAGGAAAGGAGCGGCGTTGTTACAGCTCCATGCTAGGAAGGCACGTGGCTCTGGAAAACTACCATAAGGCTACTATTACAGCAGTCCGCATATGGCAACTCTAAATAGGAGCATACCTTCCACCGGTGGCAAGTTATCTTTGGCTATTTTGCTTAGTTAGCGGCAGTTGCTGTTTAGACTCATAGAGCCTATATGGAGTTGATAGGGAACGCTATATGTGCTTACTACTCCTGTTTTCTCAGGGAATTTTTTGGAAATCCTCTTTGGAGGAAGATATACACTCTTTGTCACACGTGCTGTACGCTGTGATATAGCTATATCCTTAAGGAACCGCTTTACAAATCTCAGTTTGAGCAATTTTTGGAAACCCTTCATTGGGTATATAGACTCAGGTATACAGTGCCTGCTACATATATAATACTCTTTTTGAAATTAATGTATTGAGACCAACTGGCTTCCCACCTATATATGCACTACAGAACAAGCATTAAGGACCTGATCTTATTTCAAGTCGACGTGAGTCCTCTTGATCTTCACTGATGGTAATATATACCTTTATTTTGTCGTTTTCTTACTATTAAGGGTTTTGCTTGATGTTTATGATCTATATAACTTTATATATATCTTTAGAATCACCTGTTACTGTGGACTTTGTTTCACTTGGGGTGGTTACCCAGGAAGTCTCTACATTTATCTTGCTGGTATGACAGCCAAGTTACTGAGAAGGTAAAGATAAGTACTAATCTATCTCTGCATGGGGCAGCTATGGTGTGATTTATGTGCTATTTAAGCTTTTCTATCATCATATATTTTTGTGTTCCAGTTTCCATTTACCAGGAAGCTATTCTACACATCCTGGCTTATATCAAGAATACGTCTGAAGAATAGATGGCGAATCTAAATACAAGTTTGAACTATATGGAAATCTAGGATCATAGAGCTAAAAAATATCCCATTGCCTTATATGGTTCCCTATGTGCCAAAATCACCCAGATTTGAGGACGCCAAGTGCTTTTAAATGATTTTATCTGTTTGATATGTTCACCGTACTTACGCTTAACCTCCCCAGGATCTATGTGATCAAATAAAGTATTCTTTGTAACGATTGAACCTATATTACTCCGCGTGGATCTTTAAGTAACCTCTTTTCTTTGGGTGGTGCTGCTCTTGTCACACTACCATATTGTTTACTATGCATTTTTCGGTTTATGAATCCACACTTTTATGATAAGTGAGTCGGAGATAGTATTATGACACAAATTACTTGTGCCATTACAGGTGGCTTTTTTCTAGTCTATTTTTGTGATGCCATGCATGCCTGACGTCTGGTTGCTCCTTTATATATTCAAAAATCGCACCAAAATGCGCCGGCACCGTCTTGCTAAAGATCGGCGCAACTGCCATTTTTCTGGCGATTTGGAGTCTTAAAATTGGCCACCGCGTGTCAAACTGCGCATGCGCGCGAATGGTCCGGCCGCCGTTTTATCGGTTGGATAGTCGCACATTGCCGCACTCAAGTGCGCATGCGTGGACGGGGCGGCCGCCATTTGCCTGTGGATATTCGTAGGGAAGGGGAAAAATTGGCTGTATGCCTAGGTCTGCTTAAGACAGAGATATATTCCAAAGAAAATTTGTTCATTTGGCAATAGCAGGCCACAAAACTCAAATAATAGGCATACTGGGGACTATATAAAGTCCCTTTTTTTAAATAAAAATAAAAAAAAAATATGGGCCTCTGATAACTATGTATAATGTAAATTACAATGCATGCGCAGGACACACGGACACTGACTCTCCAGTGGTTCCTAGATCCCAGCATACATATATGGACAAGTATGAAGCAAATTAAAAATAAATATAAGATACCGAAGGTGTAAACCAGATCTAAAATGAGGAGTATAGTCCCTCTCGTATTTAAGTATGGTATAAAAAAAATGCATGTACAGAAGACACAAATGCCATATAAATAATGAATCCTACATCTATGGCACACGAATGCAAACGAATGTGAACTAAATAGTAACAATAAAATAAATGTGAACCCATAGGGTATAAAAGCACAACAAAATTATATATTATATGTAAAGGAAGGCGGAATAATAGCCGCTGTGAGGTGTTCAAATCAAGTCGACCTTCATAAACGCATGTTATAAAAAGATAAATTATAAATTATTAAAATAAAGAATAAAACAACAAGGGCATATGGTGTAACCATATCAGTCTGAGTCCAGTAGAGAACAACGTAAGTTGTATAGGGTGCAACTGCCGTTGCTGTGTAAATTAAATCCATAAAAAAGAATCAGATAATGAAACATAATAAAACAGTATATAATCCATAATATTACATACAATAGTCAATATGACCTTCTCACTTATCCAGTAGCCTGTCAAACAGATAGAATAAATTAAAGTGACCAGATAGAATGCTGTCATGTGTAAGCTCAGTCCATGTATAAGTCTCAACTACTGTCTATGAAACAATTTAGATCCAATTCCACATTATGGCCCAACGGTGTCATAGACTTAATCTCAAAGATCCATTTAATCTCTAGACAGGAGACTTCCCTGCTTCTATTAGAACCCCTCCAGTGATGTTGTGTAACATCAATGTTTGTAAACTTGAGGGAAGAGGGATCTCTATGGTGATGGTCTCTGTAGTGTTTGGATAAGGAGTGTTCGCGGAACTATGTCCACAGTCTCTGGTCATCCCCTGTACTGTGCCCGCAGTCTCTGTCCATCTCCTGTACGGTGTACTATGTCTGCAGTCCATTTGGTTCAGAATATTTTTTTTTTCTTGTTTTCCGCCTCTAGGTGTGTTTTATGGTCAGGTGCGTCTTATGGAGCGCAAAATACAGTAGTTAATGCAGGGTCATGGGTTTAGTAACACAGTAGTTTTTTTTTTTTTTATTGAGATGGAAAACCAAAAATAGTAAATAGTTTCAGCAGTTTCTAAGCCTTTTTGATAGTCTAGTATTTCAAAGCAAGAAATCATTCAGATTACATATAATATGCGCATGGCATATTTTCCAAGGTTGAAAAAAAGCCTTTCTTGGACAGGCAGCAATTTCTGAGGGAGCACATTGCAATTGGGAAACAAAAAAAAATAATTAAAAGAAAAAACAGACTTCAACTTAAAAAGGAGACTTAAGATGAAGAATGTGAGGCTTCATTTACACGAGCAGCTGCTAAATGTGAGTTTAGGAGCTTTTGACATTTTTGCCAAAGCTCCTACACTCAGCTCCATAAAAGCCTATGTGTCTTTTAACAGAGTTTAAGAGCTGCTGTGTTTAGATGAGGTTAAACCTCCCTCTCCTGAACACGAAAGAAACGCATTCAGGAAAGGAACGTTTTGACCGCCGACCACAGGAAACCACAAAATGTGGTAAAAACATGACAACCGCAGTACCGTACTTCCCAGCGGCCGGCGGTCTGAGCAGGCTCAAATACAGGAAGCTTTAGAGATTTGCACCAGATGCAGTATTAAGTCTGTATCAGAGGTTACCTTGCAGCTTGTGGGCCCCCACTGCAAAAGTTGACCTGGGGACCTCCACTACCACCCACCGCTTCCAACACGTGCCAAAATACTCCAATTTTTTTTCGATCTTTATTTATATATTGAGAAGGTAGTTCAAAAGATATTGGAGAAGCTGTCCACATTTAGATATACCATATTTTCCGGCGTATAAGACGACTTTTCAACTCCTGAAAATCTTCTGAAAAGTCGGGGGTCGTCTTATACGCCGGTACGAGCCGGTGTCAGGGCGGCACTTTTTCGAGGGGCGGCGCCGCTGCCCCTCCTCCTCCAACGAACACTAAGTACAGGGGTGGACAGAGGGGCTGCTGTACCTTACCTGGCTCCGGTCCGACGATGATTCGGTCCAGGAAGCGCGGCTGCTCCTTCTCTCAGTTCGGCCGCTCGATGGTCACGCGGCCGCTCGGCTCCGCCTCCTCACCGGTGATTTGGCGCCAGCACTGGAAAGTCACACAGGCGACCAATCACCGGCGAGGAGGCGGAGCTGAGCGGCCCCACGAAAATCGAGCGGTCGCACTGGAAGAAGGAGCAGTCGCTCCTCTCCCCCACTGACACTAACGATGGGGCACTATTCCTCCTCCCCCACTGACACCAACAATGAGGCACTGTTCCTCCACCACTGACACCAACGATGGGGCACTGTTCTCCCCACTGACACCAACGATGGGGCACTGTTCTCCCCACTGACACTGACACCAACGATGGGGCACTATTCCTCCCCACTGACACCAACGATGGGGCCAACCCCACTGATACCAACGATGGGGCACTATTCTTCCCCCACTGACACCAACGATGGAGCGCTATTCCTCCCACTGACACCAATGATGGGACACCTCCCCACTGAAATGATGGGGCACTATGATGGGGCACTATTCCTCCCACTGACTAATGATGGGGCACTATTCCTCACACACTGACACTAATGATGGGGCACCATCATTGGTGTCAGTGGGAGGAATAGTGTCCCATCATTGGTATCAGTGGGAGGAATAGTGCCCCATCATTGGTGTCAGTGGATGAAATAGTGCCCCATCATTGGTGTCAGTGGGAGGAGTAGTGCCTCATCATTGGTGTCAGTGGGAGGAATAGCACCCCATCATTGGAATACTACACTGAAATACCATACCATATTGAAATCAAATCTGATGTTTTTTCATTTTTATTTGGTGTGCGTTGGAAGAGGGGTAGTCTTATACGGCGAGTATAGCTCAAAAACCCTATATTTTAACAGGAAAAGTAGGGGGTCTTTATACGCCCAGTCGTCTTATACGCCGGAAAATACGGTACTCTCTCCAATTATTGTAAAAATGCCTGTCACTGCAAGGACACACAGAAAACAATTGTTTCCCATGTGTCCCATTCACACTGCAACGCAGACTGGAGCTGTGCTGCAGAGTGCTGAAATAAAATACAACCATACTGCAGCAGTTTATTTTATTTAACTTTTATTGCAACACACTGTACAGAATTGAATGTTACTGTATAGCAGCACATCGCGATGGTGTACAGTCCCATTAAAGAAGTGTACATTTGTATAATTCAAATAAAGTTTGTCCAAAACTTTAAAAAAAAAAAAAGCCATGTGATGCACTGAATCGCACACCACATTGCCCTTACCGCAGCAGGGAGTAGACAGCTGCCAGACAGGTATAGTTCTCTGGCAGCCTTTAGCTCAGTGTTTTTCAATCACGGCACCCTTTAAAACTATGCAAAATCTTGAGGTACCCCAGTGTATAATCTAAAAATTAGAGGTGCACCTGAAAATTCAGGATGCACTTGGCCGAAAACTCAAACTGGCAGTGTAGTGATCTGTCATTGGCCGTGTCCTGTCAACACAGCCAGTGACAGATTGTGCCGGAGGGTTTCCACTTGGCCGTCATTGTACAATAGTCCAGGTGGGAAGAAGTTAAAGGGTGTCAGGTGCGTACCTGACGCCCATCCCACGCACAGCCTGCGCCCCCTGATGCTCATCCCACACACACCTGCCTGCGTCCCCTGACACCTGACACTGTCAGGAATGCATAGAATGGGTGGGTGTCAGGTGCTCAGGCTGTGCATGGGATGGATGTGTATCATGACCCCTCTGACACCCATTTTATGTATAGTCTGCGGCCCCTGAAACCAGTTCTATGCATAGCCTGCTCCCCTCACCGTGTAGTAAACTTAAAAGCAGCCCAGCTCGGTCCATCAAGCGGCGAGGCAACTAACACTGGACATGCGCCAAGGCATCACTGTGCAGCCGTGCCTTCCTCCTGTAGGAGGAGGGGTCAGAGCATCCCACAGCTCTCCCCGGTCAGAATGGAGCATGGCGGAACCAATATGCAGCAGCACTCTCTCAATCTCCTCTCCTGCACTGGTCAAAGGACATTTTCAGCACCTGTATCATTTAATTTTTTCATATCGGCAAAATGCAGATACGGTTTATTTTGGTCGAACAATTTGGCAACTGAAATTTCGGTGCACCCCCAGTAAAAATGCTTGCAAGAATATAATACCTTTTATTTACATCCCCTCAGGGAAATCATTAAACTCTTTTTCCTTTTTGCTCTCTACTCCTCTCTTGCTGTCTTTTAAATTCTCAAACTTTACTTCTCTCTCATTCTCTCTTTCCTTCGCTCTCTTTCCCATCTCTCTCTCTCTCTCTCTCTCTCTCTCTCATTCTCTTTCCCCATTTTTTCATCCTCATTTAATCTCACTCCATTAGTTCTGTGCCAGTTCACACCAGAAACTGCAGGTGATATACACAGTGACACTCTGCAGTTCCGGTGCGATTCACATGCAGTTCTGTGCAGTGTAATCTCAGCCCATTCATTTTGGATGGACTGAAATTACACCGCACCACAAGTAGTGCATGCACTGCTTTTTAAAATGCACCGCAACAAAAATACCATGCGATGTGGTGTGGGCAAACACACTGTTTGCAACTTGCATTTGGGGTGCCATTAACTTATTATTCACACCCACTGCAGATTGCAAATGGAGTGTTTTGCATGCAGTGTGAATTGCATAGGAACGCAAAGCATGTTCCTGTGCAATTCCTTTGTGGGCCTGGTGTGAACCAGCCATCGTGGTTTCTCTATGTGTTCATCTCTCTTTTGTCTGTATGCAAAAAAAAAAAAACAAATCAATAAAAGTTTGGCTTACTGCACACTGAAGGACATTATCATTACACGTTAGAATAATACAGGTAGTCAGTGTCCTAACCATTCTTAGAGCACTTTTCAGGCAAGACTTTAGTATGCATATTGTGAAAGTTAATGCTGCTGTCTGGTGAACAATGGTAACATTAAAGGGTTACTAACCCACAACAGTAAAATCAGTCTGTATATGCAGTGAAACATGCTTGTTATTCTCACTGTAGAACCTAAGGGGTTAAATCTCTGCATTGTTCAAAAACCCTGTTTGATCCTGACTTTTCTGATCCTCCCCTTCCAGTGCCCCCCTCTTATCTCCTGATAAGACATATCGTGCGGAGTCACTCTGCACATGCTCAGATTGGTGTGTATGTATAGCTAGAGTTTTTATTTTTTCTTGGGAGAGTGCATGTGATCAGGACAGAGCCAGTCAGCACTGTCCAGCCAGAGGGCAGGGGTTCTGCATCCTCCTATAACAGATTGAAAACTCCCCTACAAGCTTTAACATGTGCTCTGCTGTACACTGGTAGGAGTCACAAGACTGCTATATACTGCTGCTGAGAAAAGGTATTTAGTTTATAGTTACTAAAATAATTGCACTTCCCTGTTGTGTACTGTGGGAGACCAGATATAGTGAATTCAGGGTCCTGGGGTTAGTAGCACTTTAACACATTTTACCTGTCTGTACAGAGTTTGGACTACAGAGCCTGTCAAAGGTCTCAGCCTCTCCCAAACAGCTGCAACTCATGCAGTTATCTTTTCATTTTGTGTCCAGTTCTAGATAAGACATCACAGGGCATGTGAGAAGGTGGCTGGGCAGAGGGACCATTGGACAAGGTTTCTTGACAGGATATTTTAGGATTGAATGCTAATTCTATCAGCAAAGTAAAAGGAAAAACGGCACATTGTGATGCATAGGAGGAATCTCTGCTTCCCCTTTAAAGAACAGTAGTTGGCAGGGAGTTAACAGGCAGTCCCCAGGGCCCCCCTGGAGCAGGGGATAGGTCACAATTGCGAATTTTGCAACCCCTGTAATTATGCCAATGGTCTGTATGGACAGGTTTCAATTACTGACTGAGCAAGCATATTACATCTAGCAAAAAAAAAAAAAAAAAATTGTGTTTTGATTCAATATATAACGACTTCATGGACAGGCTGCAGTTTCTGTGCCAATGAGTGGGCATATTGAATTTGGAAGTAAAAAAAATTCTATGTCTTATATGCAGATGAGAAAAAGGTTAGAGATTTGCATCACATATATTAAGGCTGTATGAGCAGACTCATTTTTCATTTTTAGATGCAATATGCCCACTCAGAAATGTCAGTGTCTACATTCCAATCAAACAGGCATTTTACAGTTTTGCACAACATCTATGAAGCCTTTTTTAAAAGTCCACAATTGAGCAGGCTTATTGCTTTTGGAAAAATGACTGTTTCTTTGCTTCAAATTTAAAAGAAATACATTGCTCAGATTTGTAGAACATTTTTGGAGCCTTTATAGAAGGGATAGGCAACCCCTGGCACTAGTGCCAGAAGTGGCATGCAACAAGGATGGCACCCAAGGGGAGTCCTGGGAGATTCACCTATCAAACAATAAAGCTGGCCAGCGGCCGATGCCCACACACCTGTTGCTCTCTCCGCACTGAAGCGGTGGAGTTGGATTCCCCATGCTGCTTGTTATCACTTTGCTGTACCAGAGGAAAAAAATAATAAGCCTTCCTCTTTTAGCCTGTGTTGGCTCATGGCCAGGCTTTATTACCATTAATGTACCTGCCCTCCCTCTAAACCTCTCTGGCTATATCTCCTCCAAGCTGAGCCAGGTGCATTGATGCTGAAGGTGAGAAATGTTCAACTTCAAATGGCCATTAATCCCTTCCACCAAAATCTTTTATGAGTAACTCAACAAAAAGAAGGATTTCATGTGGAGGGAGATGGGTTTTAAAAGGCTTTTCTAACACAATAGCTATTGGGAAATAATTTAGGCTACATTCGCACAGGCATTTAACTACGGTGCAAATGGCAGCGCTGATACATGCTGCTTTGTTTGACACCAATGAGTAGTTAGCTGTGGCCACCAAGGCCGTACAGTACACTATGACAGGTTACTAGGTGCTGCAGCTATTCGTGACTGTTCACACAGTCAGTGATTAATGGCAGTGATGGCTGCTTAACACACACTTTGTGTGCATTCAGCAATGATCACCACAGGTAATCGCCGGTTGTGGGAATAGTCAAGAAACACCTATGGCTGCCAGTAACTTGTCATAACGGTGTACTGTATAGGCTCGGTAGCTGCAGCTAGCCATTCACCGGTGTCAAAATCAGCAGATTCCTGCTGCTGCCATTCACCGTGTCATCCAAATAAAAAGGAACTACTACTTTAAAACACAGTTTGGTAACTACTACTTTGGAACACCTATTGGGAACTACAACTTCAGAACAGATTTTGGCAACTACCGCCAAAAAAATAGAAATGGGAATTAAGAACTGCAGGAACTGGGACTCAATTCTCCAGTTCTACTGCACGGTAGAGGCGGTGTAGTCTTGACTGGAGCATCTATATGCAAACAGCTTGGTCCATTTGTCAGAAGGTGCAGGAATTGGGCTTATCTGAGGCCTGAAGGAGCAGAAATTGTGCTGATCTGGGGTGTGAAAGTGCAGGAATTGGGGTGGGCTGACGTGTGAAAGTCCATTAATTAGGTGATGAAAGATGTGAAGGTGCAGGGTTTTGTGGGAGCTGAAGTGTGAAGGTGCAGTAATTGGGATATGAGCTGTATGGGTGCAGGAAATGGAGAGCAGCAGAGGTGTAAAGTTGCAGGTGGGAAAATGCAGGAATTGGGACTGACCTAAGGCCTGAAGGAACAGGTATTTGGTCTGATCTGGGTTGTAAAAATGAAGGAATTGGTGTGAACTGAGTTCTGGAGGTTCAGAAATTTGCTCTCTCCACACAGGCAGTGGATTCCATACTACTTCCTGGCCTGGACGTGGCTTTGGATTGATATTCATAAGGTGAG